CCCTTTGGCTCATGTAGTGAATTCGCAAGTTTGCACACACAGAAATTCTACTTTGAGATGAAAGGCTTTTCTGTCTCCTCTAGTCCCAACAGCCCTTGAGAGGTGGTTAAGATGCACTGATTCTAGACACATGGGGAGTGTGCTATCAAGTGTTCCTAACACAGCTGTGAGGTTCATATTCTGTGGAAAGTGGGAGGAAGAGGGAAGGTGAGGCTGAGTGGGGAAAGCCCTCCCTCTGCAGGGGACAGCAGGTGCATTAGGGAGAGTTCACCTGCACAGGAAACTTGGCATGGCCCGTGCATTGTTTCCCTGGGGTGACCTGCCCACTGAGTGACCCATCTCAAGGATCTGATTAAAGGAGACGTGATACTGAACATGAATCGGGCTCGTATGTATTATATTTTAGTTTAAGGGTTTGGAATGAGTGTGTGCTGCCCTTGGAGAATCAGTGTGGCCAGTGAGCTTGGAGTGCAGGGCAGAGGGACAAACAGGACAGAGGAGAGGCGCAGGGCCCAGGTCTAACCCATCTCATTGTCACCACCATCCGAGGGACAGAATCCTCCCAGTTTCACCCCAAGTCTTTACTAAATAACAACTCCAGGATTCAAGATGCTCACAGGGCCAGTTACATTTTCAAAGTCTTTAAAAATCTGTGCTATTGAGAATTCTCCCTCAGGTAATAAAGGTGGTCGTGAAAATGTGATGTTTCATGTCTATGTGAAGTTTGTCTCACTCTTTGCTTTTAATCCCATACAAACTTCAGTCTTTCACTAGAGAGGTAAGAATTTATTTTTGTACACCTCAAGACGCAACCACTGATTTTTTACTTGTAGAAATTGAGAGCAGAATTCCATCTACCATAGCACTGTTCAAGTGTGCCAGGGCTAACGGACAGACAGACACTGTGCGTGCTCAAGGTCTGAGGTGTGTCTCTGATGATACAAGAATGTTTCTTCCACTTTGGCATGAAGTTTGCTTTCTTCTCTGTACTAGTCATAAATACCAATAAAATCAAATATTCGTGCTACTTTTTCAAGCATACAAATTGGAACTAATTTTTTTTTTTGGTGAGGGTGGGTACTGGGAATTGAACTCAGGGCATTCGACCACTGGGCCACATCCTCAGCTCTATTTTGTATTTTATTTAGAGACAGGGCCTCACTGAGTTGCTTAGGTCTCCCTAAGTTGCTGAGGCTGGCTTTGAATGTAATCCTCCTGCCTCAGCCTCCCAAGCGGCTGGGATTGCAGGTGTGTGCCCTTGTGTCAGCTGTCATTTTTTGACATAAACATACATTGATCACCCTGTGACTCAAAGGAAACACCCTGAAGTCCAACTCACGAAAACTCCTTTGTACATAACAGCCTCCTCTGAGTCTGCTAGTTCCTCTTCCTTGCTGAATGTTGGGAAGTTAGATAGGGTAATGTTGTTTTCTAGTTTTCATTTATTTATAGGAATATGTGAATATTCTGAAAAATTAAAACCTTGTTTGAGTCGACAAACATCATTGACATAGTTTGATGAAAAAAAAATGTCTCTCTGGGGGGGAATAATGCACAGCACACGGGTTTTCCCTTGTTCTATGGGGAGAGCAGGCCACACCCGAACCTGTGCTTCGGATCTCCCTTTTTGTGGGACCGTGAGGGCTCAGAGAGGATCAGTCATCGCCCGGCCCAAGACGGATATGTTTCAAGACAGGAGCCCATTCAGGCTCTAATGAAGAAGTCTGCTTTTCATTCTCCGTGTGTCCCATCCGGGTCATACTTTGCAAAACTACAGAAACACTCTAATGAAAAACGAATTTGAGTTCTTTGGGAATTCAAAAGGAGCGAGAGGCGTGATTGAAAGCAGATGGCGCAGCGACTGTTGGCTCCAAACAGGGAGGGGTTTTGTTTCTTTTTGGTAAAGCTGTATCTGGAGCTGGAGAAGTGAGAAATTAGTCCTCCTGCCCCCTATCTCCAAATGGGAACAGCAATGCCAACATTCAATCAATAGCATATAATCATGTGTCAGTAAAATTGCAGATAACCAGTGTTCATGTCAAGTTTCATAGAGTTGATTCCATAATAGCTTTTGAAATGCTCTTGATGAGGGGTTGGCCATTCATAGACCACGGTCCAAATTTGGCTCGTGGCCTATTTTGCAAATGAGGTTTAATTAGAACATTTTGCAAATTAAAATGTGTAAAAATAGCAGCCATTCACCTGGGCATGGTGGCGCATGCCTGTCATCCTAGCAACTGGGGGGGGGGGGGGGGCTAAGGCAGGAGGATCCTGAGTTCAAAGCCAGCCTCAGCAACTTAGCAAGGCCCTAAGCAACTCAGCGAGACCCCGTCTCTAAATATAATACCAAAAGGGCTGGGATGTGACTCAATGGTTAAGCACCCCTGGGTTCAATCCCTGGTACCATAAATAAATAAATGGCCATTCATGTTCTGGGAGCCATAAGTGGGTTATCTTCACAATTCTCTGTTGCTTTGTGATTTAATAGAGTTTTTTTTTTAAGGAAGAAAAAGCTTTTAGACTGTCTTATCTTAGTAATGGGAGTGCACCCTCTTGGTGGTGTAGATTGTCCATCCGAGTCTTAGTTTTGGGAAAGTGTAAATCAAACCTTCATATTTTGAAAGCATTATTTCCTCATATGTTTCTTTGGAAGAGACCATCTTTGGTTTTTCTCCATGAGTGTAGCATATCTAGAAAGCTCACAAGTTGACTGATTTCGAGAGCATACCCTCACGCACAAGCAGTGTGGATGGTGTATTCCTTCATTTTAGCTTTCCTCTTACTTTGCGGTGATGATTCACTTGTCAGCTTAGCTCTGTCCTGCAAGGATCTACCATTCCCTTTCGTAGGTGAAGGATGGAACCCTCCATAACAGAAGGGTGCTGCTGTGACTCTCTTATCTCAAATGGGAATAGCACTCCTCTGACTTTGCATTTCACCCGGGGATCTTATGATCTAACCATTTTGATTGACAAGTTTGAGCCTGAAACTGGACTATCTCTTGACAAGTCGAAGTTCACCATTACGAGAAGCTTCTCAGTCAATCATTCAGCAAATGTTCACTGAGCATTTGCTGTGTGCTAGGGGCTCTTGTGAATGCTAGGAATGTAGGAGCGAAGGAAAGAGATAGAGCTTTCATTAGCCCCAGGGCAGGGAGACAGAAAAGAAATAAGCACAATCATCTATCAGCTTCCAAGGAGGATTTGCTCCAAGACCCTAGGGTCTTGGAGGACACCCAAACCCAGGGATGCTCAAGTTCCACATAAAAACTGTGCACTGTTTGCATGTAACCCATGCACATCCCCCTGTAGGTTTTGATCTTCTCCAGTAACTCATGGTACTTCACGCATGGAGTGCTACATGAATGTTGTTACACTGACAAGAAAATGTCTGGGTGCATTCAGGACAGATGGAATCGTCTTTTCTAGTATTTTTAATCTGCAGTCTGTATTTTGACTTTGCAATTTAATAGTGATGGGGGAGGAAGCAATTAGAAGTGTTGGGAGTCACCCCGGCCCCAAAGACTAACTTCCCCATCCCCCAAAAGAGCCGACCAATGGTGAGCCCTGCTGGCTCACATGATCCTTACCCACCAATCAGACTAGCCCTGGTGGCTCACCTGATCCTTTCCCACCAATCAGAGCCCTGCTGGCTCACATGATCCTTACCCACCAATCAGAGCCCTGCTGGTTCATATGATCCTTACCCACCAATCAGACTAGCCCTGGTGGCTCACCTGATCCTTTCCCACCAATCAGAGCCCTGCTGGCTCACCTGATCCTTACCCACCAATCAGATTAGCCCTGCTGGCTCACCTGATCCTTACCCACCAATCAGAGCCCTGCTGGCTCACATGATCCTTACCCACCAATCAGAGCCCTGCTGGTCACCTGATCCTTACCCACCAATAAAAAAGCACCCCATGCCAACTGTCAAACCACCCCTGGCTCTTTAAATATGCAGAGCTGTTCCTCAATAAACGGGCATTTGCTCCGATGTCGAGCCTTGTTCCTTCTTTCATGAAGAATCACATCAAAGTCATGGAAGTGCACCATCTTGGTATGATCAGGAGTCCAAAGGGCCTTACTTTTGAGAAAATGTCTGAAAGATATACATTATTTTACAGATGACATGGGCTAAATCTACTGGTGTAATAAGGACTTTGGAGAAAATGGTGGTAAAGTTTTCTTGGTCAGGGGGACTATATTAGCTTTCTGGTATTGAAACAAATACCTTGAAATGTTCTTGTGTTAAGAGCTGATGGAATGTGAGGAACCAGGGGCAGGTGCCTGAGCAGGAGCTTGGCGTGAACCTGAAGGCAGATTCAGTGGAGAGAGGCATCCTGGAAGCCAGGAGGGTGTGTTGCAAGGAGAAGGAGGTGACCACTACGGGTGACCAAAGCGGACTTCTCACAAGCGAGGGGCCTATGCTCCTCACACCAGAAAAACCACGAAACTTTCCCATTTTAAATAACAAAGCAACTAGCCTACACAAAGCCCCAGGAACTGTGCATCCCAGAAGAAAGCTAGGGATTTATTTTTTATTTTTGTGATTGTTCTAATTAGTTGTACATAAGAGCAGAATTTCAATTTCAATTCATTGTTCACAAGTGGAGCACAAGTTTTCATTTCTCCGGTTGTACACCATGTAGAGTCACACCATTCGTGCAATCGTACAAGTACCAGGGGAATAAAGTCTGATTCATTCCACTGTCCTTCCTACGCCATACTCCTCCTCCCTTCACTCCCCTCTGCCTAATGCAAAGTACCTCTGTTCTTCCCTATCCCCTCCCCATGGTGAATCAGCATCCACGTATCAGAAAAAAAAAACATTTGGCCTTTGGTTCTTTGGGATTGGCTTATTTCACTTGGCATGATATTCTCCAGATCCATCCATTTACCAGCAAATGCCATCATTTCATTCTTCTTTAAGGCTGAGTAATATTCCATTGTGTATATAAACCACAGTTTCTTTATCCATTCATCTATTGAAGGGCACCTTGGTTGGTTCCACAGTTTAGCTCTTGTGAATTGAGCTGCTATATACATTGATGTGGCTGTGTCCCTGTAGTGTGCTGATTTTCAGTCCTTTGGGTATAGAGTAAGGACTGGGATAGCTGTATCACATAGTGGTTCCAGTCCAAGTTTTCTAAGGAATCTCCAAACTGCAGAAAGCTAGGAATTTTTTAATATAACTCCCTTGGCCCTTGTTCCAAAGCTTGGAATCCCTGACAGTCACAACACGGGTACATTTTCTCCTGGCTTCTACGTTGTTAGATATGGTCTCTCTGGGCCTCCTGTGCAGATGGCGTTGTAGCTGGAACCCTGCGCTGTGTTCTGCTGTGGGGGCATCTGTAGGTGGCCTGTGGTGTGGGGCAGCTGCCTGAGCTCAATTTGCAACTAGAAATGATGAGCAGACCCTCCGGCTGCGATCACACGATGCCTTCTCCATACAGAGTTTTGTAGGTTGGTGATTTCAGCACCCAATTGAGATTTGGGTTTTCAGAAACCAGAATGGGTAGAACTGCAAAACTGGACATTGTACATAAGTCATCGGATTACATGACAATGCACATAAAATTGGTGTCACGCTGCTGACCCTGGTCGGCGACTGAGATGGCTTCTCTTTTCCCTGGGGTTACAGATCCGTCGGCACCACCAGCCCCCGCTAACCTCCAACTGGCCAACTCCACCGTCAACAGTGACGGGACCGTCACGGTGACCATTGCCTGGGACCTCCCCGAGGAGCCAGATATCCCCGTGCACCACTACAAGGTGTTTTGGAGCTGGACGGTCAGCAACAAGTCCCTTGTCCCTACAAAGAAGAAGCGGAGAAAAACCACAGACGGGGTGAGTGGGAATGAGGAGGGAGGGCTGCGTCGCGCAGGGTGTATGTGAACCCCAAGTCGGAAGAGTGGCCCGTCTTGAGCTAAAAGTGTTGGTCTCCTGCTTGGAGCTGTGGGGAGGGGGTGGAGTCCTCAGGCATTAGGACCCAAGGGTCACTGGAGGTGTGTCCTTGAAAGGGACAATAGGACCCCAGCCCCTTCCTTTACCACTTGGCTTCTAAGCAATGAGAAGAGCAATTTTACTGTGCACCTACTCTGGCCATAATACATTGCCCACAGCAAAGGGGTCACCAGGTGGGTACCATGGCACATATCTGTAATCCCAGCAGCTCGGGAGGCTGAGACAGGAGGATCGCGAGTTCAAAGCCAGCCTCAGCAACTTAGTGAGGTGCTAAGCAACTCAGTGAGACCCTGTCTCTAAATAAAATATAAAATATGGCTGGGGATGTGGCTCAGTGGTCAAGTACCTCTGAGTTCAATCCCCATACCCACCCCACCAAAAAAAGAGGACCACTGAGACCTCTAAAACTGTCAGCCAGGACAGACCTTTTCTAAGTTGATCTTCTGAGGCATTTGTTAGAGTAACTGAGCACCAAGGAGCATGCGTGCCAAGGGTTTCTGTCCCATCCTAGGCAATCACAATTGAATTGAGTCCACTCACCTACTCTTATTCTAATGGCAGTTACAACGTCACCTCCAGAAATCAAAGCCACAATTAACATACGTCCTTCTTACCTATGTAGCCACAAAGATGAAATAATGTAAGATGTCCTTTATACGCAGGTCTCTCTCTCTCTCTCTCTCTCTCTCTCTCTCTCTCTCTCTCTCTCTCTCTCTTAAAAGAACTTTGTAAATTGAAAGGCAAATATTCATAATTCTCCTATTTCGAGCTTTTCCACCTGCACACAACTTAGAAAGTACAGTTGGGCCACGTGTTTTTCACACTGATTTAAGAAGAATCTGAAGGGCTTTATCATCCAGATGCCAAAAATTATATCTTCATTGAGCCCTTCTCTGCAGTGAGATTTCAATCATAGTGAACAGGACATTTTGGTGCATAAAGGAGTTAGCTGCTCGATTTACTTTTGGTGTACCTTCCTTTATTTTGATGTTATAACATTTATATAAACACTCTTCTCCCTCATTTATGAAGCTGATTTCCTAAATGAGTTCTGTTTAAAAATACTTTTTAAAAGATAGGATTTTTTTTGTACTAAAGATTTTGATATCTGTGCTACTTAGAATTATAAATTATGTCTCCAAAAGCCCATATCATCGATATTTAACTGTTAAACTATTTTCATTTTGAAGATATTGTCATACAGGTTGATTTCTTATGTTGAAGAATCCTGCCATGTTTTGTCTGATAGAAATAGCTCAAGAGCTACAGTTGTAAAATCACTGGAATCCAAAGGAAAAAAAAATGACATGATAAAATGTTAAAGTTCCCTACTTCAGGTGGCATTTTATGACATTCGTAACCAGACAGCATCAAAGATACACTTGGGATATGAGCAACTGATGTCTATCATATGCCCATTATATAAACAAAGCATAAATCATAAATTAAATTAATCACAATGATCCAGTGCAGTTACTAATTTAAGTATCCGTGAGCCCAGTGTTTGAGTCACCTTTTCACTGCAGTGGCCAAAAGAACTGACAAAGAACAATTTTAGAGGAGAAGTTTATTTGGGGCTCATGGTTCCCGAGGTCTCAGTCCATAGATGGCTGACTCCATAGCTCTGGGCCCAAGGTGTGGCAGAACATCAGGGCAGAAAGGTGTTCTGGAGGAAACCAGCTCAGGACTTGGCAAATAAGAGAGAGAGAGAGAGAGAGAGAGAGAGACTGCTCACCACGGACAAAATATAAATCCCAAAGGCATGTCCCCCAAGGACCCACCTCCTGCAGCCACACACACTCCACCTGCCTATAGTTACCACCCAGTTAATCCCTATCAGCGGATTGATGCACCAATTGGATTACACCCCATAATATAGCCATTTTACCTCTGAACATTCTCTTTTGAGGGACACTTTATATCTAAACCATAACACCCAGGGTAGCCCAAATTATGGGTCACTATCTCATGAGTGTCTTGTATTTTCCAGTGGAAAAAAGACAAGCTACATTCTATATGAATTATTGCACTTTGAGATATTAAAGTTTGGCCAACTGATCAATGAGATTAGAAAACAGAAAACCACCAAAGAAATAAGACACCAAGGAATTTCTTCCTGGGGATCGACTATTCCCATTTCTTAAGATGCCGTTCTAATATCCATGGTAACTAAATAAAGTGGGGACTTCCAAGTGAAGGCTCTTTGAAAAGTGAATTTTAATTGACCTGGCGGAAAACAGAGTTTAGGAAGAACGAGATGCAATTAAACAGATAAATCCTACTTAAAGGAAATGGGGAACCCAGAAGCTGGTCTAACTCCTGATCCTCCAACCTCAGCCTCATGAGTCACTGAGATTATAGGCATGTGCCACTACACCTGTCTACCACCTGTCTTTTTTAAGTGACCAAGTGCATTCTATTTAATGAGTGTTTTAAATTCTAAGGCAATGATCTTCTTTGTCTTGAATACAAGTTCCTGGAAGGGGGCTTTACTAAACTTCTCCTAAGTGTAATCTTCAGTTCTAATTCCACCTTGCTCTGTGCACCTGGAGACATCACCTTCTCCTTTAGCCTTTGCAGAATTCCTGTCTTGTCCCCAAGATACTAGGCCGATTATGCAGTTTTGCTTTACTTCCTTTCAATCGCAGCAGCATCTATAGAAAATTGGGTCAGTGTTTGACATTGACAATAATGATGGCAGAAATATCTTCAAGCATTTTTTTGAAGCTGATTTGTTTTGTAACTTTTGGTGGAACTGCACTCAGGAGATGTAGAACAGTTAGCAAAGAAGGGCAATTAATGCCATCTCATAACTGTCCCGGGTCTCTGGCAACACAAGCCTTTGTAACTTCATTAGGAAGAGCCCTCTTTTCTGTTCAGACTGCTGTCTAGAAGGAAGTGTGTTTGAAATCATTTGCTCCTGCACATGCAGTTGTTGAATTAGGACAATTATTATTTAACGGGTTCTGGCCTTTTTATGAAATCTATTTTGATCCGCGGTAAAAGTGGATTTTCCATGGTGCAAATCCACACAGTGTCTGACCTTGGGAAGTTGAAGGTCCATGCAAGCTAAATGTTGACGTGCTTCACAATGTCTGGTAAGATTTGCTGTGGAAACGAGAGGCGAAGACCGTTTCTAACGGGGCTCGGGGATACTCCCTCTGTTTGCAGCTCCAGAATTTCGTGATCCTGGAGAGGCTTCAGCCAGATTACGACTACACCGTGGAACTGCAGGCCATCACATACTGGGGGCAGACCCGCCTCAAGAGCGCCAAGGTGTCCCTTCACTTCACGTCCCCACACCCCACCAATTACAGTAAGTGACCTCCACATGCGTCTTGAGCTCTATCGTGACACACACCTGTGTATCTTATGGAAGAACGAGGTGCAAAACAATTTCACCTCTGGAGACATCTTTGTGGTGTTTATTGTTGGTGCAATTGTCTTGGTGTCGTGAAGGAAACTGAACAAGAAAACAGGGCAGGATGCACCTCGGTGGTAGAGCACTTGTGTAGCACGGGTGAGTCCCTGGGTTCCGTCCCAAGGACCGCCACCAAAAGAAAGAAAGCCGTACCTTGTGAGCCATCTATTTATGCACTTCCGTTATTTGCAGGCTTTGTGCACAAGCACACTTCTCTCTAAAGGGAACACAAACTGTCACATTGTTGTAGTTTTTGTTTTTCTCTTGAAAGTGGCATGCCTGTTTTTCCTTGGTGTCACACTGTGGTTGTGTTCCTTTTTGGACAGCTACCTAATGCTCCGTTGAGTGAAGTTACTTAAGAATTCCCACATTGGTTTTCCTTGTTTCCATTCTTTTTTTCCCCTTAAGTAGTATGTTTGTCACCAACTGAGCAAAACAAGAGGGTCTCACAGGACATGCACATCTTAGTTGTAAAATAAGTTCCTTGATGTTTGTGGCTTGTTCAGTGTGCGGGGCTGGTAGGGACTGCCGTGTAGGAGCACCTGGAAGGGGCTCAGGGAACCAGGGCAGGAATGAGAGAGACGGCCAGGGGCATCCCTTGTCCTGGGGACCCTAGGGCCATTGGTTCATTAGTCTAGCAGAACCCTGCCTCCCTCATGGGAGTTGGTCTTGATGAGAAGGCAAAGAATGCACTCAACTTCGCAGAGGCAACGCTAGCTCTGCAGAGTTAGATGCAGCAATTGCTCATAATTATCTTCCACCACCTGGGAAAAAGGCAGGCTCCACATGAGCAGGTTGGTCGGATATGACACTTTCTACAAGTACCAGAATCACAGCTTCCTGGCTTTTGGAGAAATCCGCTCTCTGGAGATTAAATAGATTCAAAGGGGTCAATTTTTATGTATAAGTCCAGGTACTATATAACGGTTCCCTAAAACATCTCATGGAACTATTTCTATGTGTTAAGAAGCTTCATTTTTTTTTTTTTTTTTTTTTTGGCACTAGGGATGAAACCCAGGGGCACTTAATCACTGAGCCACATCTCCAGCCCTTTTTTTATGTTTTATCTAGAGACAGGGTCTCCTGAGTTGCTTATGACCTCACTGTGTTGCTGAGGCTGGCTTTGAACTTGTGATCTTCCCATCTCAGCCTCCAGAGCCGCTGGGATTACAGGCCTGCGCCATCAAACCCAACTGCTTCATTCACTTTTCATTCATTGCATTGTCTATGATGCTAGAAATACTATGCTAAAATACTACACATACATACATAATGTGCAATACCCTTTAATTGCATGATATTGTATATATATGATGTACATCCTCTGTATAGTGTATATGTCCTGTAAAATTTTCTATAAACATAGTGTACATGGGTGTATATATTCACAGACATATGCACTCACCTATACAAATACAGTCATTTCTCAGTGTCTCTGGGAGATTGGTTCCCAGAGTACTGTCCCATGGATACCCAAATCCAAGGGAAGTCAAATCCTTTACATAAAATAGCATAGTCTTTGCAACTAACCCATGCACATACCCCATGCACCTTAAACCATCATGACTTACGATACAACGTCAATACTATGGCGTGCATGGTCGGTCTAGTGTATCGTTTAGGAACTATTAACGAGAAAAAGGGGGCTGGGGGTGGGGCTCAGTGGCAGAGCGCTTGCCTCCCACGGGTGAGGCACCACATAAAAATAAATAAATAAATAAAGATTAAAAAAATATAACAAGGAAAAGTCCTTATGTGCTCCATACAACAGCAATGTTTTCCCCAAGTATTTTTGAGGGAATACTGTTGAATCCACAGATGTACAGCCTACAGATATGGAGGGCTGAGTGTATACACACACACACACACACACACACACATATGTGCGCACACACACGTAGACATTTTTTCCCAACCCTGGATGTATTCTGGTCTCCGCCTTAGAAGTGCCTGATCTTGAATTTGGGAGATAAATGTAAAATAAAGACCCTGTGCATTGCCTGCAGAGCCCAGAGCTAACATGGAGGAGGGGAAAGAGCACCACATTCTTCCCCGTGAGCCCCCGTCCTCTGTGCGCTCCTGACACACAGACACCTTTCCATACAGAAGCAGGGCACAGATAAGGAAGGCCTGGCCAGAGCACGCAGGGCAGAGGACCCAGCCTGGGAGGGAGAAGGAGGCGGGAGGCCATTCTCTCCCGTGCCTGGACCACCTGCTAGTGCCTCCCTCTGCCTCCCTCTGACCGGTGCCACTTTGAGCTGCCTCGCAGCACCTCCACCTGCAGGGCAGCAGGCCCCCCAGACCCAGTGCCTCCAACCATGAACTCGCGAGCCCCTTCCCCCCTCACCAGGGCCAGAAAGTCCTTTGTCTCCGATTTTAAATCACATGTGACCTCTGTCCAGCTGTTCCTCGAGCTCAAACCGTGTCATCTCTTTCTCATGAAATTCAAATCGTCATCCTGTAGAGTTCCACTTTCTTTTCTTGTTGTTTCCCCCAAAACCCTATCCTGAGCCGCGATCCGCCTTATTTCTCTCCAACACCAAAATCTTATCAAATTGCATCCAACGTCTGCATCACTTCTTTTCCTACGGACGGTGGGGATTCCACCCGTGCTGTGAAACGGGCATGTCCCTCTGCACCCCGGCTCTTCCCAGTCAACAACATTCTTTCCCTGTTAGCAACTGGAGTGGGTTTGCCAACTCCCGTAATTTAATACGTGTGTCTCCCCAGAACAGGAGCAAGCAGGGGAAAGCTGCCACCTCAACTGCTCATTGTTGAGGTTACATCACCCGGGGTCTGTCTGGCTGTGGTCCCCCTCACGTGAAAACGTCTGTGGAGCGCTCCTTGGCCACAGCACGTGCCTGGCCTTCTCAGTCCTCCTGGGCCCTCCTCACCCAGCTCTGCAAACTCAGTGACTTCTTTTTTTGATACCAAGGACTGAACTCAGGGGCACTCGACCCCTGAGCCCCATCCCCAGCCCTATGTTGCATTTTATTTAGAGACAGGGTCTCACTGAGTTGCTTAGCGCTTTGCTATTGCTGAGGCTGGCTTTGAACCCATGATCCTCCTGCCTCAGCCTCCTCAGGGAGATCTTTGAGGATCTCCTTCTTCTGAGTAAGGTCCCAATCCTTTCTCTGTCCCCTTAGGCCACATTCCACAGTCTATTTTAAGCCCCTCCCTCTCAGTAAGATAAATCCCCTCTTGTGTAAGCACATCTCTCCCTTACCCCAGGGTTCTCCTCTGTAATCCAAGTGGACCGTTCATCCGTCTGCCTAAGGCAGACTCTACTCGGTGGTGTCTAGACCCACGCCTGCCTTCCCAACTCACACACCTGTGTCCGCTGTTGTGAGCATCTGTCCTGGTGAGACACCACTGGTTATCTGTCTGTGTGTAATCCCACGTGGGTCATGTGTCTGTGGGTTATCCATCCTGACTCCTGTGTATAATCACTGCACCATGCATACGAGTGAGACGGGATGAACAAGGTATTCCTTTCCTAAAACTTCAGGGTACCTTGGATGGATCTTCTCAGCCTTCATTTTAAAAGCATGCTCTTCCTTAGTCTGGTTTTTTCCATCCAACCTCTTTCCTAGGACATTCCAGAGCTTTCTATAGGTGTCATTCGGTTGATCCATCTGATACAGGAGTAAAAACAAGGACGAGGGAGACAGAAATGGTATTTTTTTGTTATTTTCCAGCAACCAACGTCCTCTGTCTTTTCCAGGATGTTTGCATATTTGAGTCATGTGGCTAACCATACCAGACGAATTCTCTTTCTGGGTGAGAGTTTCTACCCTGTGGATAGACACTAGAATTAGATCTGCTAAGTGAGTAAGTTGCCATACGTAATATTAAGATCCTGACCACCAAGATATTTCATTGATTCCTCAGGGTTAGGATCTCATATAATCATCTTTAAAAATTAGACAGTGTCTTTCCTGACCCAAGAGAGTATGACGGCCAACCTCACAATAGCGGCTTTATCCTAAAGACTAATTCCCTAGAAATAGCTGCATTCAGCTGACGGATAATCTTGCACCTCTTGTAGATTCAGAAAAGTAATGAAAGCAAAAACACAGAGCCAACTCCCTACAGCAACCTACATTGCTCGGGTCTCTGGTTATTTTACAGAAGAGACTGGCTTTGTAACAGATTATGTGGGATAGAGCTGAATGTTTGTCAAGCTTTTATATCTGAAGCTTGATATATAATCTCATAGACACTACTGTATGACTTTTACAAGAACACTCCATATTTCATCATGATCCACCTGGAAGTAAAGAATAATTAGGACTTTACACTCTAAGCAAGAGAAATTATATTTTATAGGAAGTGGGGGAGTAGTAACTGTCAGCATATAAACTAATTTTGAGTTATATTCTTCCAGGTCTGCAGGCTACCAGGGGTTTTAAGGATAAATATTTTCATGCAGGCAGAAGCTGAATGTGCATGCAGTTTTATAAAAGTTTCCCTTGAAGGCTGTAGGAGGTAACTCTGTCTTTAATGGAAATGTAGTGTGCCTTCTTGGAGGCAGGAGGAATAACTCCAAGGTTGACAGACTCTCAATATTTTATTGTTACCTCCTATAATGGGAATATTCTTCTGACTTTCCAAAATATGGAAAAAAAAATGGAGAGAATACTCTGAATATCTTAATCTGTAAAGTTAGTTTCAATTTGGATGTTTGAAAAAATAGCATGAATCTTTGATTTTCTTAGTACTTAGGGCTACTATAGAATAGAAAGCAGATTTCATGCCAAAGTGGAAGAGATGGTCCTACAAACTCAGACACACACCCTAGCATTTCAGCTTGCACAGTGTGTGACTGTCCCGTAGCCCTGGCACACTTGAGCGACCCTACTTGTGAATGGATTTCTGCCCTCCATTTCTTCCAGTAAAACTACAGTGGTTCAATCCCAAGGTATGCAAAAATAAGTTCTTGCTTCTCTAGAGAAAGATTAAAGTGTGCACAGGATTTAAAAGCAAATAGCAAGAAGAAATTCACATCGACATAAGACATGGCATCTTGACGGCCAACTTTATTATCTGCTGGAGAAGATCAAAGATGTTCAAAGACTTTAGAAATGGAAAAGGCCCCGTGAGCATCTTGACTGCTGAATGTGTGTTTAGTAAAGACGTGGGGTAGAACTGGGATTATGTCACTCCATGCTGGTGGCCACAACCATTAGACCTGGGGCCCTGTGCATCACCTTTAATAGTCCTTGAGATAGGCCACTTAGTGGAGAGGTCACCCCAAGGAAACAATGCCAAGTCTCTTCGGCAGCCTGACTCTCCCTAATGCCCCCTGCCTTCCCCTGGTTAGGGAGAGTTTTCCCCACTCAGCCTCGCCTTCCCTCTTCCTCCCACCTTCCAAAGAATGGGGGCATCCTAGCTTTGTTAGGAAACCTTGATACCACATTGCCCATCTGTCTAGAATCAATGTATCTTAATGCACCTCTCCAAGGGCTATTGGAACTTCAAGAGGCAGAGAAGACTTCCATCAAAGAGCACAATGTCTGCGGGTGCAAACTGTCAATTCAGTACATGAAAGGGAAAAGTGTTGTTTTTTTTTTTTTTTCATCATTACTAAGTTGTGTGAGTTGTCTATGAACACTCACAACCCAGTGCAAGAGATCCACTTCTTGAAGAATGCACAGCTATTGGGCACAGCAAGAAAATAAAAAAAATGGAGAAGAGGTATTACCTACAGTGATTAAGGACAGCACTGGGGCTGCCTGCAAAGCAAAGCTCTCCCCAAAGAAAGGAACATGAGAATTTTATTCTGGGAGTCTATCCATATTCACGTTGGGGCTGGGCCCCTCCCTGGGCATTTCTGGGTGAGGATGTACATTTCTGACACGGTCAGTTCAGGATCATGGTTGGAGAAAAGAAGTTGGTGGACACGTGTCTGTGCATGCTCAGCTCAAAGTCACTGTGAAAGGTTCAGGCAGAGAACACAGACATTTAAAGGTGGCAGACTTGAGCACTCTGGGCATGCTCAGGTGAGGGTCACAGAGACGGCAGGTGTGAACCTTTCTAGATAGGCTCAGTTCAATATGAAATGATCCAAGTATTATCTTGGAACCTAAAAGAAAACAATAAATAGTGTTCCTGGGATCTTAAATATCACAGCTGGTTCTTTGTGAGTTTCTCCAAACAGTTTTAGCTAGAAGAAAACCAACACCATATTGAAGATGTGTTAGGAATTGGCCTGTAAACGTGCCTATCCCACTTAGTAGCTAACAGACTTGGTACCTGGTGAGGAGGACATATTTTACTCTCAGACAGCTCCGGGATTCAATCTCCATTACCGTTTCCTTGGAAGTTTGTCAAACTGGATGTGATTTTTAATATTTGTTCAAGTGCTCCTTTTCTTCATCGTTAATGAATGCTAATAGCTCTTTATCAGAGATGTGCAAACCAGGGCCCAGGGGCCACACCCACCCTAAACCTGTTTGGTACCTAAGAAAGATTTTACTGGAATGCAATCACACTTGCTTTCATATCCCATCTGACTCTTTTAGAAACCTCTTTTCACATCACAGAGCTGGAGACCCTTTCTTAAACAAAGAATTGGCAAAAAAAAAAAAAAAAATGACCTCACATGGAGTGAAGACAGGTATCTCATTCATTCCCTTCCACCCACTGGCTGACCCCACCCTAAGTGCCAGACACTTGGCCCTGTGTGACCTCAAAACTTTGGACACTTCCTCAGTGAGTCTAGTACTGTCTTCACCACTCAGTCCTCATTTTAAACCTGGGTGAATGGGTGCCGCACTCTAATTTGTTGCCTCCTTAGTTTCTGTATTTTGTCCCCAGATATTTCCATTTTAGCATTTGGGACTTCCCGGTTGCTTTCTCATAGGTGTGCTTTGAAAAGGAAATTTTCTTCAAAAAAGATGGATACACACTACCTTTAATAGACTTATAAGCAGTACAATCAATTCCCCAACAACCCATTGACGATTTGTTTTTGAAATTAAAAGTTTCCTGCCATTAGTGGGAAACGCGCCTCACTCTACTCCAAGATGACCAATAGAAATGAAGGAAAGGACATAGCACTGGTGTTGGGAGAGGAAACCATCATATATGAACATGTAGAGCTGACCCTTGTGGGAAAGTTCATATAAAATCATCACTGCCAGTGTAATTATATCATCCAGGATGATCTTAGCCATTTCCTTAAACACTAAATTGAAAAAAGTGACATTAACATCCATCCATCCCAGGAGACGAAACATAACCGTCTTTCCTGATAAAATTAGTTGTTTGTTTTCCCCTAAGAGCGCATCCCTGTGTATTATGGTCAGTTTGGGGGAGAGGTTTCTAGGGGTTGAGTCCAGGGGCACTTAACTACTCAGCCACATACCCAACCCTTTTCCGCCTAAATCTACAGACATGGTCTTGCTAAACTGCTTGGGGCCTCACTAGTTGCTGAGGCTGGCCTCAAACTTGCTATCCTCCTGCCTCAGACTTTCTGAGCTGGTGACCCTGCAGGCGGGCTCCCCCACGCCCAGCTATGTTCATGTGGACAGTGTGGCCAATGCCCCTCTCCAATGGCTGAAATGGTTAAGTGGAATTGTCAAGTGGATTGGTTTAAGAGCGATTAGGATTAAGAAGATTCTGGGTGTGTCCAGGAGGGTGTGTCTAGGAATGATTGGCTTCTGGCCGAGCCAATTGGAGAGGAGACCCCTCCCAAAGCGGGGGGGGGGGGCAGCTCAGATCAATAGGATGACTGTTTGGATAGCACAGGGAGGCCCAGCAGAGACAAGCTCCCTTCTTCTCCAACGGGCTCTTGATTGGTCCTGCGACCAACTCAGGTTGTCGACTCTGACTTCTTCCCTCCTCCCAAGTGGACTCTGCCAGTGATTCTGCAGGGAGTTTCCAGAGGCCTTGGGGCTTGGACCAGGGAAGACGGTGCATCCCCCTTGTCCGGGGCCCAGCCTCCTGGATCGTGTGGCTCCTGGTTCTCCCAGCTCTCCAGCCTGCAGCTTCTGGTCGCAGGAGCCGACCTAATAAGTCCCCTTTTTATATTTCCTGTGAATTCTAAAAAAGTAGAGGCAGGAGCGAGGCCCTGCTAGGGTACAGGACCCGCGGTGGAAGGACAGAGGACGAGGCTTCCCTGGCCCTCCACAGGCCCGAGGCCCCGCCCGTGCCACTCACTGTGACGTTGAGGCCTGTGGGGCCCTAGCAACTGGGGCCCCCTGGATACCGACGCCCCTCGGACAGTGCCCCTTTGGTCTCTGATCTCGCTCGACGCCGCCCATCCTGAAGCAGCCCCCCACGCACCGCTCTCATGGGCGGCTACCTGACCAGGTGCCTAAAGAGTCACCCGCGCCGTCCCTGGACCGCGCCGCGGCCCGGCTGCGCGCGGGAGCCCGGTTCTGCCAGCCGCAGGGCCGTGTGCCGTCGCCTGGACCCCGGGCTCTTCCATCCTGCGCTCGTCTTCCCGGGCTTCTTTGTCCTCTCCCGAGCCCTGCCCCGCATCGGGCCCGCGGACCTCCCGGCTGCGCAGCCCACTGAGCCCAAGCAGTCCCTCTGGGAGATCTTGAAGCAGGGGCGCAGCGCTCCTCGCCCCGGCCACACCAAGCCTCCAGGATCCAGGAGGCGCCCTGGGGCCCACAGCCGGGTCACAGTCGTCATCAAAGCCCCCCGGCGCCCAGGGACCCGCTACAAGGGCCCCCCCGTGGAGCCCACGCCAGACCCGTGCGCCAAGGCCACCGTGCTCCAGGCCCTCAGCAAGTGCACCAAGGGCAAGAGGAAGTGTGATGGGCCCCTCTGGTTTGAGATGCTGGAGCCCGAGGTCCCCGAGCCCAAGGTCCCTAAGCTTGAGGTTCCAGAGCCCCCGAAGAGTCCGGAGCCCCCGAAGACCCTGGAGCCCCGGCCCTCGGCTTTGGTGCCTGTGATCAGCAAGGGAGCGACGCCGCCCTTCGCGCCCCAGCTGGGTCCTGCGACAGGAATCAACGGCCCAGTGCCCAGGAGACCCCCGCAGAGCCTGCCCCCGAGACGTCCCTCGCCTGTTGGTGCCGGCTGTGTCCCCTGGTGCAGGCACTGCACCGGCCAAGGGCACCGTCTTGTAGCTGCAGACCCGGGTGCAGGTGCCCCCCAGTCCACGGGCCTCGGGCCTGGCCGCCCTGCTCAGCAGCCTCAGCAGAGGACCCCCCCTGAGCCCCAAAGGCCGCTCAGCCCCATGGTGCCCCTGACGGCCCCGAGAGGGCCCAACGGCCCCATTTTCTTCAGATACAGACCTACAGTCATCATCGTCTCCTACTGAGTCCGCTCTACCCCACGGGGAGGCTTGGCCACCAGCGGACTGGCCACTGCTTGGACTCACAGGTCTGCCACCCTCAGCCCTCCTCTGTGTCACCTGAGGAGCCCCCACTCTAGGAGACTGTTGACCCCTCACCCCTGGCCGCCCACTCCCGCTTCTCCCTGGGAAGAGACTGACCCGGGAGGCGCCCTCCGCCCATTTCTTAGTTAAGCGCTGCTTCTTGTGTCCTAGAGTAGTGATAGGAATAGAGAAGGTTGTTTTCCTAGACATTGTCCTGTTCTTTCTTTCCAAGACTCTCCCCTGTAGTTTGTCCAACTGGACACTGTAGAGGGTGGGGCCTGACCTTCCGGTGGTCGGTGCTGTCCTGTGCATGGGGGGGGGGGGGGAGCAGCCTCCCTGGTCTCTGAGGGGCAGCTGAGCCAGTCCACAGTGTCTCCAGCCAATTTCCAAACAACCAGACTGTTGGAAAGCTACCAATCTTGAGTTGCATTCAAAAAAGAAGAAATTTTAGTTACATATTTTCAAACAATAAAGGTTAGAAGTAGACAGTTTGTATAGCACAATGTCGTCTGCAGGAATTAGTTCATATAACTATTATTTAAAATATAAAGAATGTATTTTAATTCATATTTCTGTGTATATTTGAACCTTTACATAGCATGTATGTTGTCAATTCAGTAGGAATTCAATTAATCATTTATTAACAAAGCTGGTTGAAATATTTCGAAATATTAATGGGCACATTACTAGTGATAATGTCATACATTCTGTGTTGTTTAATACAGTTAATATTGTTCCACTATACAAGTGATATAAAAAGTATGAAATTGTGTTTCTGACGTGATAAAGAAGGGCAGAAACCAGGCCAGGGCCTTTGGACACTTTGCCTGGGCTGATCTTTCTATGCAAAGTCTCCATACAGTTTTGGAACTTGAGCTTCATGGTCTTCCTGTTGAGAGGCAGGGGACACAGCTCTAACCCTAGCAGTCCCTCTTCCCATGGAACGTGGTGTCCAGGGTAGAGCAGAAGAGAGACCAGGAAATACACCAACACGTTTTGGGGTGGAGCTGGAGGGATGGCAAGCTCTGAGAGACAGAGAGGGGGAGTTCTAGATCTTCTAGGGGAGACTCAAAAATCAAGCTTGTAGCTGAATGGACAGGGCACTGTGTGTCAATGACATAGAAGAAGGACTTTGGCTCTGATTTCATCAATTGAGACATATCGGGCATGTGGGGTGGCTGTCCCCTCTAAGATAGGATTGTCCTGAACCTTGGGCTCTATTATTTCTCTCTGGTCTCTCCTGTAAATGCTAAGCTCTGTCCAGTCATGGATGTAGGTCCAACCCCCACCGCTCACTCTACCCCATCCCTGTGCACATACACACACACACACACACACACACACATATGTACACACACACCACAAACACACATTTCCTTGGTGGAGTCAAAACCACGCCCAGGTAAAGACTCTGTATTACTTCTTCATCTTTTTTACCTTAGAAGTTCTACTCTTTGAGTAGCTGTGGGGTTCACAAAATAATGAGTTCTTTGAGAGGCTGCCCTGTGATGTGATGCTTCCTTCTGTGGACATGAATCCCAAAGCCCCTTTCCCCAGGACTCCTACTTCAGCTGTCGGGTAAGGTCATCCAGTGGGATTCACCTCTTATAGGACAGCACCACGTGTCCCCAGATTCCTTGACACTTGTCCCTTCAGGGTGAGCCCAAGTCCCTCTCCTGAGTGGGAGGCCTAGAGATGCCCTTCCAACTGCCACAGTTGGAAAGTCCCACCCCAGGTCCAGTGGACATGACCCCCTCCTGCACCCACCCACCCCTGTTTTCCTTCTCCCCAACTCCCATGTCCTGGCTGACAGCAGACAATATCAAATGGAGGGTGTCACCCAATACCTGAGCAGGCTTCTTTAGAAACCTCAGGGTCAGGAGAAAGGACACACTGTCACAGAGTGGGGGGTGGGGGAGAAAGAGGGCCTCAGCAGAAATTCTAGGAATATCCAAATAAACTAGGGAGTTTCCTTCATCTCTGTCCACCATGAGTTTCTCAGTGTTGATGACTGCGCTGGGGCAGGTGACAGCAGAGCCAGAGGGCGGCAGGGCAGGGCACAGAGCAGGCTTTCTCAACATGGGCCAGTGACCTCTGGGGCGGGCTTCCTGTTGTGCTGCCCAGTGTGGCGGTCCAGCAGCCTCCCTGGGCTCTCCCTGCTAGGGGCCACAGCACCTGTCTTGACAGTAGCCCCTCCAGCCAACAGAGAAAGCCACCAATGCTTCCATGTCCTCCAGAGTCCTCTGAAGAGCTGGCACCGGCAGGGCCTCAGGGGACCCCCTGCTCCCCAGCAGCTCTGTGACTTTGCAACCTTCTTTTTTTAAATCTCAATATTCTTTGGGCTGGGGACCGACCTCAGTGGGAGAACATTGTCCGGCAAATCCTAAGCCCGACATTTACTTCCAGCCCTTCTAACAAAACAAAGGCAATCTGAAATTCTTTCAAGGGCTGAGGATGGAGCTCAGTGGGAGAGTTCAGGCCTAGCAAGTGTGAAGCCCTGGGTTCCACCCCCAGCTCTGCACACACAAAAATCTCATCAGTATTTCAAATTCAATATGTACCTATCTATAAGAAGCCATGTCTATATATTTTAGGAAGAATTAAACAGTTATTGCAGAAGCTGCCGGGGGCACTCCACAGTGGGCCACAGGTGTAACTAAGCAAAGCCAGGGGTCAACTGCAAGGTCTGACTGGCATCATTGAAGATGACGTGACCATTACGCAGGTGCTTTGGAAATAACTAGGTGTGTTCAAATCCAAGACGTAGACACCCAGATGTAATAAGGAGGTGTAAATAATTAGACTAAAATTGTCATCCCCGGAAGGGGAGCTCCGTTCATGTCCCCTGGAGGCTGCCTCCACCTTGGGAGCCTCCTTGCAGAGCTCAGGGCGCAAGAGGAGGAGGAGAGGGTGTAGCAGGGCCCTGGTTTCCCCCATACACAGGTGTGAGGTTGAGGAGCCAAGATACTAAGCAAGATGCTTTAGCTCCCCAATATGGACTAAATTGTGAGCTTAATTAGCCTATATGGTTAGGAAGAGTTCCTATTAAAAAGGTCATTTGAAACCCCGGGACCTTTGTGTCAGGTGGAAGAGTTTGGGGATGCTGAGACCCTTGAAGACCAAGGTCAGTGCCTTGAACCCACAAGAAAAATTAAAAACCAAAGTGGAAATCCACAATTCCCAGGAAGCCCAAAGTTGTGCCTATTTGTAGGCCCCATGTGACTCTAGGACCTGGGGAGGACAAAGGCCTTCTAGATGGCTGGTGGCCATGCAAAGTCTTTGTCAAGGAGGGTCTGGGCCCAGGAAATTCAGAGCAGCCTAGGAAACAGCATGAGAGGCTGTGTCACAAGAAGAAGGAAAAGGAGGAGGAGGAGGAGGAGGAGGAGGAGGAGGAGGAGGAGGAGGAACAGGAGAGGGAAACGAGGAGGAGGAAGAGAACAAGAAGATGAAGGAGGAAAGACAGATGAGTAACTAATCACTTTCCAGAAATTATTTAATTTCCGTGAGGCTTAGTCCATCTCCTGAAGTTGCTGCCTGGGCTGACGTCCTGGGCACGCGACCTGTGCATCCCCACGAGCTCTGACCTCCAAGGGACTCAGCCTTGGTTCAACACCTGCTGTTAGAGTCTTCAAATTGTGACTCATTTTTGAACAATGGGGCCTCCCATTGTCATTTTGTCGTGGGTGCAGCAGATGACCCAGCTCTCCTGACTTCTGTGACTAGACATCAGCACCCTGGGAATTCCATGCAGACTAAGAAATACCACACTCCTGGGTTTCTCTTTTCTGCTTCAGAGTGTTTGACATATGTCACTTCATTTCCTTCAATGGTAACACTGGTAGTTTCTCCCAGAGGCTCAGGAGGCTGAGGCAGGAGGATCTCGAGTTCCAAGCCAGCCTCAGCAAAAGCAAGACCCTAAGCAACTCAGGGAGACCCTGTCTCTAAATAAAATACAATGGGCTGGGGATGTGGCTCAGTGGTAAAGTGCCTCTGGGTTCCTTCCCTGATACCCACCTCCCCACAGTAATTAAATTAATTTGGTTCTGCTTGTTTTTTAATGAAATGAGAAGTCAGATGCACCCAAAGGGCCATACACCATTATTGTTTCAAGATTTCAAGAACACTTTACCATTTGTTTTCAAGTGAGCTACCTTTGTGATATGCCCTGCTACACTGACCTTAGCATCAGAGACCATGGTCTCCTGTATGGCTCAAGTACCTTTTCTGAGAAGGACAGAAGCTGAATCTGCCCAGCTTTTTAGATATGTAGCATCTGTTGGGAAAATCCAGAAAATTAACCACGGACCTGAGGCACCCAAAGCCAGAGGCTGTATTCCAAAAGGTTCATGTGTGGAGACTGAGTTTGGAAAACCAGGTCCTTTGCAGGTATCACACACCCCTTCTCTGTCTCTGTCAGACACTTAAGTGTGTAAGCGTCAGGGTCACCATGTGAGTGGTCCAGGCTGGACCTGGCCCTCAGGCCGTGAGGTGCTGAGCCTGGGGTGCCCATCCTGTGTCTCACACTCAGCACACAGTAGGCCTGCAGGGCAGGGCACTTCATTCCTCAGCTCTGACCTCCAGGTCACAGGAAAGGTCAGAAACCATGCACAGGGTGGTTTGGACAGTCTGCCTGGCCTGTTCTGTCCAAAGTCTCTACTTGAGCCTCATGGTTTCCTGTTGAGAGGCAGGGGATGCAGCTGTAGCCCAAGCCGTCCCTCTTCCTAGGGAGCTTGCTCTCTAAGGATAGAGACAGAAGAGAGACCGGGAAATGCACAGACACACTTTGGGGTGGGGCTGTCTGAGAGAAAAGCAGCCTAGTCCCAGTATAGGCCGCCACTGTATCAAGGGTTCGGTGTAAAATTGTAACTAGAACTATAAACTGTCAGTGCAGGACGCCGTGGTACATGCCTATAATCTTAACGGCTCAGGACGCTGATGCAGGAAAATCTCAAGTTCAAACCAGGCTCAGCAAAATCGAGGCTCTGAGCAACGCAGTGAGACCCTATCTCTACATAAAATACCAAGTCGCCTGGTGATGTGGCTTACTGGTCAAGTGCCCCTGAGTTCAATCCTGGGTACCAAAAAAAAAAAGAATTACAGATTATTTGAAGAGACAGTGCTGCAATAGTAATATGCTTTTAAAGGTGGTAGTATCTAAGGTATTTCTATTTAGGATATAGTTTTGACCTGATTCTGGTTTACGAAGCCTTCCTGCATTCCTGGGGATGACCGCTTGGGTCTCAATAGCAGGTCCACAGGGTACCTTCATAGGAACAGAATCTTCAAGTTCAAGGGAACATTAAAAGTCATCCAATCCC